TGGATTGGGCCAAATCGGAAACATATGGAACATTAAGGTCTTTATGGATGATTTAATTTGTGACAAAGTAAGGAGCGTTGAGGATTTTACGAAGGATTTTGGGTTGTAAGGATTGGATACGAGAGGAATTCGATGGTTTAGTGGAGCCCCAAAGCTCAATTCCGTAAGTCCAAATAGGCCTTATTATTGTCATATCTATGAGTCGTTTGTACTTGATTGAAGGCTTAGAGCGTTTGTCTAGTAAGTGCTGCAGTAGGGCGGTTTCTAGTCGTTTTAGTCTGGTATGGGGTTTACATCGATATAAATATTAAAATAAGCACATGTAAGGGTACTTATACAAATAAAATTACCCACAATGGAATACAAATAAATATAGCGTCTATAATTTTCACTTCCCTTTTGTCTGAAAATATCTTTTCTGCTAAGAAGAGGGTGGTAAGAGAAGGTTATGTGATGCGCGTATCGCACCAGTTTTATTTAAATCATAAAATTTTACAATGTTGAAATATTATTTAAGATAAATTAGTTATTAGCTATAATTAATTTATTATTTAATTTCTCTCAGAATTTTTAATTGTGAATGACTGAAGAGCAAAACGTTTTGCGGAATCATTCAGCTTAGTTATTCAGTTCCTATCCGTTCAGTATAAATCTGGCTAGACCCTTATCTAAAACAAAAAAGGAGAAAGGAAAAACAAATTCAGCCCTTCAGCAATATCACTAAAAATAAAAATAAATAAAATATTCTGGAAATAAAAAAAAACAAAAAAACAAGGTATTTGGGAGTTGGACAGGTAGGAGGAGCAGTGACAATAAACTGGTTGGAATAGAATATTGAAGGAAGTGGAAGAAGAACATAAAGACAGTCGCTATCGGAGGCCATTTCAGGTGTTTACTGTTCCGCTTTACCTCCCTGTCAATAATTAATGAGGCCGCTCTTCCTTTATATCCGCCGAATAGCTAACAGTTGCCACTGTTTCCGGCGACTGGAGCGCTCCGGAACCGCAGGGGCCTCAACTAATTAGCAATCGCCCTGTTCCATAATTGTCTCGGCCATAACCTTCACTAGCTAAGGCCACAATATAATATTACAATACAACCTCCAATATAATACTGCGATACAACCTCCAAGATAATACTACAATACAACCTCCACTAGTTTACAACCGCCGTTATTGTGTTCCACTATTGCCGGCCATATTTCGCCAATCGCCGACCGCGCAGTTACCGCCTCCTGGCGACTGTATAATGAACCCAGTGTACCACCTGAACTGTCTTAATTCTAGAGCAACGAAATTAAACAGGGAGCAGTTGGTATTACTGGAAGAGGACCTGGAACCATCCGGCCTTTATCTTTCCGGTCGGTTCTATTGGCGCGGAAATTTAATGAGACTTCTCGATCTCTTATTGGTTCGGAATAATGAATGAGCCTGTCTCCCATTGAGCTGCTTATTTACAATCGGAACTGTAGCTGTCAACAATAGGTTCATTGAATCCCATCGCGAGCTGTTCCTCGTTAAGAAAATCCCTAATAAGGTCTAACAATCTCGAGTATAGTTTTATTGTCCTCTTACTTTGTGAAACATTGACTCCAGCTACCAAAGAATCGAGCAGTCAACTCAAGGCTCCTTTAAAAATTCATTTGGTTGATGCTAAAAATATATGCATATATTTTAGGTAATTTTTTTATTTATTATTTTCAATAATTAACCATTGCAATCGACCAATAAATTCAAATACTACTCTTCAAAATTTGAGTATACGTTGAGTATATTTCAGTATACGTTGAATTCAAAAATCGAACAAACAATTTTTGTCCGTCCGCCGTTTGCGCATTTCCTCCAAAACTACCGGACCAATTTTTTTTTCAAAATTGGATTTAAAGTCAGAGGTCACTCGAGGATGATCCTCCTACATCGATATTACTATCCGCCTTTTTTTTCATGATGGCGACCGAAAAACATTTGTTGCTATAGGCTGTAGCGCTTAAACGAATGTACAGATTTCAATGAAACTTGGCTACAGTTTTCTTCTCGACGCCTTTTAAATTTATCTATATAACATGCTTCAATGAAAAGAAGCTGGAAAAAAGTTAAGAGGAGTAATACAATTAGATTTCCGAATTACCCTTTATTGTCAAAATAGAAAAAACATCGAACAATTTGGAGCAAAGATGTTATGATCTCTATTTTGTATTATTGTATTTTGTATGTTCTGCTGTACAGGTTATATCCTTTGTTTTGGTTTTTTATTTTTGAAAGAGTTACTGAACTAATGTCTAAAGTTGTTTAGGCCAATAATAGGAATCATCTTTTATTTCTTTTTTTTTTTTTTTTTTTTTTTTTTTGGTTACAAGGAAGGTAATGTTACTTTTGATGTGTAATGGTTTGAAAATAATAAACTATTGTGAAATAATTTGCAGCGTTTTTTAATTGAAATTTAACAACTGTATTAAAATAAAATACAACTAGAAAATGTGGAGAGAACTACCTAATGGTGGCACGTCCTAAATAGTTCTGTTAGATCTCGAGGTCATCATCTTTTCATACGCCTAGGAGGATTATGAGGAATCGAGTGGGTTCGAATGGGTCTTGAATTTTTTATGAAGGGATAGGTATCTAGCTTGGTCCTTAATGAAGGAGTTTATTTGTAACGATATAAGGAACACTATCGATTTTGGCTCATAAGGTTGGCTGATTAAGGTTTTGGTGGCTTATTTGAGCTCTATAATCTTTATTGTAGTCGTATAAATAAGTCTTTTGTAATTAAATAAATGCTTAGAGCGTTTGTCTAATAATTGCATAAATGGTCACTACTAATTGATAGCCAAAATGTCATAAGCGTTCGTGGCGATTACAGTGATAGAATAGGTTATGTTTTCAGGAGTTTAAAGTGTGTCAGAGAAAGGACTGAGTATTCTGCCTTGAGGAATCCCTACAGACCAAAGTAAATAAACAAACATTTTTGTGATCCACTTGAAAAAAAAGAAGATAATTGACCACTAAATACCATAATTATTTTCCGTATTCATATTTTTGCCATTTAATCCGTTTTAGGGTGTTGAAAAATGAATTTATTTTTAAAAACCTAACATGTCGCTTAATGCCGCTGGTTTTATCTGTTATTCTACTTTTTCCTACGAATTAAGTTTGTTGTACCCAAATCCCATTTGATGTAGCTTATGCAAGGTGTAGTATCGCTGAAGTATAAACTCGGAGATACTTAATTAGGTTATATTTATATATTATTTTTCTGAATATGATGGTATGCTTATTTACGTTGCACTACATGGCCAATCTACTTACTTATTAATATGTTTTTGATAGATGACGTTTCATATGAAAATTATTCAATAGGTTGGGATGGGATTGGTGCCCATAGCAGATTAACCTAACCTGAGCTATTGCAAACCCAATTACCTTAGCCCAGGTTCGGTGATTGCGTTGCATCTACTGCCGGCGGCAAACGCCCAATCTCTCGACGTTTTAGCGGCGATGTCAGTACGTTAATGACTACATTTGCCGGCTCATGACATACAATTTGTCCGTCGAAATGAGATATTTTTGTCCAGACATATTATCCGTCTCTTCGCCGGACCGTGGTTTAATGAAACCCGGATAAGCCTTTTGTCACTTTTATGCCCCTAGGACTCTTAATATTCCCGGGAAAAAGAATAAATAAAAATAAAGTACATTAGGGATAATTAGAGACCGGGATGTCGGGGAATTTTAATTGAGTACGTGACGAAAATTGTTTTCGCCCTCTCGCAAAAAAAAAAAAAATAATGGTCCCGTAGAATTTTTCTTCATTGGGACGATTAGAAGGGAAAATGAGAACGATGTGATGAATATTCGTCGCGTTGAGGGAGGTGGAGTGTTGATAGTGGTTTAAAAACAGGTCTCGTATATTAAGGGACCCTCGTCTTTATTACTGATGATAAAATATAATTTATTTTTATTTCATTAAACTTATTTATTAGATTTTGTAGACATGGTGTTGAACTTTAATCGAAAAAAATACTACTGCCTAAAATACTAAAAAATACCTGTGCCGTTACAATCTATGACATATTGTGGATTCGCATCTTGTAGGTAAATACTGCTTCTTTGTAAACGGTTGTGCAAGGAGTATAGTAGAACAGTGACTTACCACACAGTCCATAATAACATATCTAATTCGTAAGACAGAAAAATTACCCTGTATGCCTTACCTATCTATCATTAATCATACTGATTTTAGTGTTTTTTTATATAGTAAAAATTTAGTTTTTTCTATTAAAATGTTGATCTTGAATACAAATACCGACTAAAAATTAAATTATTTTCTTTTTCTTAATCGAGTCCTCTTCAACCGTAAATCGTTGTTGAGTTTCCAGTTTATAGAGCCCTATTCATGTTTCACAATTTTTCACCAACAGACTACGTCAGTTCTAGTATATTCCTTTCCTATCGGAAGCTTCCTTTTTATACTGTTACACTTTTCGATGGTTTTCTTCCAATTTTTTTTCGCACACGAGTTTGTCCATTCCTTTCCTCTTGTATTCTTTTGACATGACATTACCAGCGTTATTATATAGTCTTCAATTATATTTTCGGCTGGTTTTTCTCATGAAATGTTTCAAATTGTTGTGAGCCTGATTATCTCCCTGCTTGGTTTTCTTTTTGTTCTCCCTAGGAACAGCATTTCGATTGCTTAAAGTTGGCTTTTTTGAGGTAATAGTCCAGGACTCACTGGCGTTGGTCAGTATGGGGATGAATGTATTTTTATAGACAGTTTTCTGTCACGTTTTTATTAATGAATTCATTCCCAAGAAGTCTGCGTTTAGTGAAGAAAGCATTTATTGACCAGTGATTTTTTTTTTGTCGAAAAAAATCTAATTGATCTAATTAATATTTTTAAATCTAATATGCATTGGCATTAAAAGTACATACAAGTACCTCTTTCTTTTTCAGTCGAACCTGACCCACCTCGGACGTAACCAGTACGTGCCGGGGATAGGGATGGGGATCGCCAAGTGCCCGTACGATCCGGCGGACAACAGCACCGCGGTCTGGGTCGAGAAGGGAAACCCCGGAGGTCTTCCGGCTCTGTACTCAGGAACCAACGCGGAGTTCACCAAGGCCGACACCGTCATCTTCAGGACCGACCTCCACAACTTCACCACCGGCAAGAAGGAGTTCGCCTTCAAGAGGACCATGAAGTACGACTCCAAGTGGCTAGACAGTGAGTGACCGATTCATTTATATATTTATATTTTTATATGTTTCCAGGAATAATCCATACAAATACAACTGGCTTCAATAACAAATCAATTTTAAACAATATAAAATTGAAATTGAAAATTGGCCTCTTACATTAAGGGATGGGCAGCGTCTTAAGGTTTTTGAAAATAAAGTATTGCGTAGAATATTCGGACCGAAGAAGGATGAGTTAACCGAGGAGTTCAGACGGTTACACAACGCCGAATTGCGTGAACTGTATCCGGGTAATATAATTGAGGTAATTTTATCGCGGCGAATCAAATGGGCTAGTAAAATTGTTGGGCTTAGTAACGAGAGAATTCTTAAAAGATTAATATACGCTATACCGAATGGTAAACGTCCGAGGGGTAGACCGAAGCGAAGGTGGGAAGATTGCATTAAAGCCGATCTGAAAGGACTGGGTTTGGACAGTGAAAGGGGGGCCCAATATACAATAGTTTAAGAGTAAGAATTTACCAGAGTTTGTAGGATAATCTTAATGGGATGGAAATATTTGGGAGCTAATTACTATAGAAGATATGAGCAGATTATATTTTTGCATATCAAATTATAGAGAATTTTAAAACATAGTTTATTATTATTTACATTTAAAAAAGAAAATGTATTTATTGATGTTGTATATATGTTTTGACGGAATTTTAGATTCTATATAATTGTTAATAATTGGCGTTATTTTAACTGTCTGACTTTTTACCAAATATGCTTTTAGAGGTATTTTCGTATTAATATTGTTGTGATATTTTTAATGTAGTATATAAATGAAAAAAAGAAAAAATATTTGTAATGCCCTAGGAGAAATAATGTTTGTTATACAAAGATAGACTCTATTTGTATTGGGTTTTTCCCTGAAAACAAATTTATTTTATTTATTTATTAACCAAACAAAAATGTGGAACATTAGATTAAATTTGCAATCTGCAAATTTCTTTGCAATAAGCAAATTTTTTAGCAGCTTCACAGTTTCCCATCACGTCCGGGATATAAATCAGATCAGCAGGTCTCTTGGCCAACGCCTACGTAATCGTCGTAGTGGGCTGTACGGGTTTCTTGTACGTTGAAGGATTTCTGTCAGAGGATTCATGTTGTACGCCAGTCTTTGGTGAAAGACTGTATTGTATTTCTCTTTTGCAGTATCTAAAATTGTAGGCACGTTTAAGTCTTTGTGTAGTGTGTCATTTGCGACATAAAAAGGTGCGTCAACTATACTTCGCAACACTTTTGACTGAAAGGACTGAACTTTTTTAATGTTGGAAGCCCCACAGTTTAATGCCGTAAGTCCAAATAGGTTTAAGTAATACTTTATAAAGGGTTAGTTTGTTAGTTAAAGATAATTTAACAAATAAAGATTAAATACAAAAAATTGTCTAACTTTCAAGATTTAAACCGAGTATATCAATATGACTTGTAGTTTTTTACTTATAAATGTATTATTCAAGAAACAAAGGATGATTAGTTCATCGTTGGAAAAAATATTTCAATTTTACTTGATGATTAATCGATCTTTCCCTTGGAGTACTGACTCCTGCCTCTAAGAAATGGCATTAAATGGCGTAATAACGATCTCAGAAAGAATTTGTAATTATAATTTTATAGCTTCAGTCTTGGAACTCCGCTGTATTATATTATTAGAATATATTTGTAAACAATGGCTTTTATGAGTGATTTAAAATTCATGGTGCTTAGCAAGTAAGTGCTGAATAAATCCGACGAATATTAACCAAAAATATATAAAGATGACCGTAAATGTTTATGAGAACATTGATGATTCTATTAAATATTCTCAGAAGTTGACTGGCCCTTAATCCAACTTTATTCTTTATATCCATGATTGGAGTGGACTTTATGGCTTGTCGAGTCACAAACTGGCCAGCAATAACTCTCTTTATCTCCACTTCTTCACCCTTTCATGGAGAATATTATAAATCAAATTTAGTGAAGAAATGGGGTTTCCATGTTTTCTAAATAATTTCTTTAACAAGAGAACCCGATCGTTTCGGCTAATTCCCGCGATAAGGGAAAATCGCTTTGAGTGGTCGCGTAATTTTCTTGATTGCCTCTCGTCTCAACGAGTGCCTCATAAAAGACCTGATTTTTTTTTCTTTTGATAAGCAGTTTGTTTAGCCAATAGCTCCGAGCTTATAGCTTATATCATAAAGCATAATATCGCGGTTATTATGAATGAACTCGCAAATCATCATCAAACCCTTATTAAGGTTTTATCCAACATTATTCTGGCCTTTATTCAATAAGCAATAATCGAAGGTTTAATATAGGTGCATAAAATGGTTTTTAGAATATCAACAGTTCTTAATGATATTTTTATTTGTACAGATTAATTTTTATATCTGATAAAATAAGTAATTACCCAACATTATTTACTATGAGAGATATTTAACGGATTTTATAGACCTACAGCCTTGAGCTTTTAGGGATATCTTATTTTTTCCTAAATTTGAAGTATCAAATTATTTTATTCAAAACTTATACAACCATCCCAATAATCCTCTTCGAAGATTGCAAAGGCAATGAACTGGAAAATTTTACGAATATGCTACTGATCTTAGTGCCGTTGTTGGATTCTAAATTTTTAAGGCCCTAGTGGTGTTTTTCTGTTTCAACTGCTTTTATATTTCAGTGTCTAGTGTGTTAAGTTTAGCTAATAATCACAAGTATAATTATATTTCACCGCGGGTTTTTATATTTGTTTTAGCATATAATTATACATTGATTAAAATTCGAGATGGCATTTATGAATGACGCATAGAAACTCACCTCATATGCATTATTTCATTAGTACATTAAAGTGTAGTGTATGTATATTAACCTTAATTAATTTAATGTAATATACATTAGGTTTGTACATACATAAAATATTAATTATAAAAATTTAAAGATGGGTAAGTAGTCGACTGATCAATCATAAGGATGAAACAAAATTGTCAGGAATTTCAGTCAAGATATTTTTGTTAGGTTAGCCTGGATTTTAGAAAAGGGGAATAATTTACTCAGTTCTTGTATGTACATTATCAAATTCTGTACCCACATATATAATATAGACACAAGGACTGAGATAAATTGTTTATATTTCCTAAAATCCAAACTAACCCAATAAAAATATCTTGACTGAAATTCCTGACAATTTTTTTTTTAATCTTATTACAATTTTAAAACGAAATTCATCCCAAACCCTTCAATCCCACATCACAAACCTTGAAGAATGGTGTCAGAACTGGAGAATTAAAATAAATTCCAATAAATCCCATCAAATTACCTCCACCCTTCGTCGTAAACCAATGACTTCCTGTCCTTCAGTATCCTTTAACAACACCTCACTTATTCCTGTTGAACAAATCCGTTACCTAGGACTCCATCTGGACAAACGTCTAACTTGGAATCCTCATACCAGACTGAAACGACAAGAAACAGCTCGACGTTTCCGACTACTTCAACACTTACTAGACAAACGCTCTAACCTTCCAATCAATTATAAAAGACTGATTTACATGACTATAATAAGGCCTATTTGGACTTACGGAGTTGAGCTATGGGGCTCCACCAAACCTTCAAACTCCTCTCGCATACAATCCTTACAATCCAAAATCCTTCGTAAAATCCTCAATGCTCCTTACTTTGTTACAAATAAAATTATCCATAATGACCTTAATGTTCCTTATGTATCAGATTTGGCCCAATCCAGATATCTGTCCTTCCATAATAAACTTCATAACCATCCCAACCCTCTTGTCTCTAACCTTGCTTCCTATTCGATTCCTGATAACCCTCCGAGGCGTCTGAAAAGAAGATGGCCACGTGATCTTCTAATATAGACATATTATTAGAGTGCTACCAATGGGTAGTTTCTCAACATGTGTTCCATGTCTTTATACCAATGTGCGAATTTACCAGATGTATTTTTTGTATATAGTTGTAAATATCATATAAATAAATAATAAATAAATAAAAAAAAACGAATCGCATTGAAAATGAATCGATATTGAGCTGGAAAATACATTATAATGTTACAATGAACTTTGTAAAGTTGAACTTGTAATTAAGATCCTTTCCTCTCTTTACTGATTCCTTTTTTAGGTCATTGTAATCGATATCTCCTTATCATTTTAAAAAAAAAATGTATTTTAAATATAACACAAAAATTATTGTTCTAAAAATGTTATTGATTTTATCTATTTATTTTTTGTCTTTTAACTTTACACGTCGATTGTTGTCGTTGTCAGCTATTTTCTTGTCATTTGTTATATATAATAGGCTACTGGTCCATTTAGAAGATAGTGAGCTTGGTACAATTTCGCCCTAGGCGCCTGCTACTCACGCGAAGAACCTGGGCGAGACTGAGGCTAATCGAAAACTCCTTTTGTTTTGTAATGTTAGGACGTATATTTATTTTCATTATAAACAAATTATCGCGAACATCTTTTTCTTTGAAAAGTATTATAACCTTATCTACAAGTTTTGAAATAAATTTTTGATAATATTTAGCGATGCCTCGATCCAGACTATCATATTTAGTATGTGATGATGGAGAGGATGGGGTGGAGGGGATGAAAGAGAGGGAAGATAATAAATCCTAGAGGCGATGTCACCTTAAAAGCCGAGCTCTTATTTTTATCGCCGTGGGAAAGTAGGGAATAAAACGGAGGGAAAAATCCCGCCATAAATGAGAAATCCCCGCCAGGACGTTAACCCCCGACGGAGACATTTTGTCAATCCTTTTAGCGGCCCTGATAAATTATTGGTGGTGGGGGGGGGGCGATGGACAATTACAGGGCGACAATGAGGGGCTCTCTTGAAACAGCCCTCGCTAACAACTAACAAAACCCTTTCCGGAAAGTTCCCGGACAAATTACTCAAAGTTTAAGAAGAGAGGATTATCCTCGGAGGACGGTGCTGCCCTCTGTTGTAGCCGGGTCAAGTGGTTAGCCCTCCTTCCCCTCCCTATCATAATTGATATCGACAATTTATCGTATTTTATATAATTCTACTTCACAAAAAATAGTCAGAACTTCTTTCTTAGTTAAGCTGCATTTGTTATTTCTAGCTACGATTTTTAGTGAAAAGATTTACAGATTATTGAAGGGAATTAGTCAACTGTTCTACATATCATGAGTGATAAATATTCAGGACGCAGTCTTTTTTTATTTATTTATGCCAACGTTTCAACCCAAACATGTTTATCATCTTCAGGGCGTGGTTTGAGCACTGAGGGTATTCAAGTACTTGATTAATGATTTTTGGTCATTGATTATTGATTCAAGTACTTGATTATTGGTACATTATTTTATAAACCCTAAACCGAGATTACTTTGGGACCAGAGGGGTGACTTTGTGCTAGAATTAGAAATAACATAGCAAATTGGAGCATTGTTGTTTTAAGACTAAAGAAAAGTTACAAATACAAACACTAAATACAAAAATGCTATAGCCTTAATACAACCAATTTTATTTTAAATAAATATGAATACGTTATATTCAATTTCAAGTACTTGAACACCCTCGGTGCTCAAACCACGCCCTGAAGATGACCCACATGTTTGGGTTGAAACGTTGGCATAAATAAAAAATTAAAATGTTTTTAAAAAATACTGCGTCCTGAATATTTATCACACATGATCTACAGATTAAACGTTGTTATTTAGTGAATCAAATGTTGATTAATTTTATTTAAAGAAATATTTAATGTCATAATTAAATCAATGTTTTAGGTTTAATTTTGAGTGTCTTGAAAGAAATGAGAATAACAGTCGTAGTCTGAGATTTAACGTTTTTCTTTTTTTGTTGATATGTGGGCTTCATTTCATTTTTCTGTCAAACATCAGTCCTAGATATTTTACTTTATCTGTTTGAAAAATTTCGGTACTGTAAAGGTAAATAGGTGAGCGACTTTCATGACGAAGAGTGAAAGTAATATGTTGCAATTTGTCTTGCTAGAGTTGAATTTTCTTAAGTTTGCACAAATCAGAAACTGAACATTTACATTTATCTACTTAAGCCTATTTGATCTTTCTCTTCTCAGATATAATGGACAGCCATAACGACACATATACTAAAAATACGATATTTTTATAATCTCTGAGGAATATAACTAAAGCTTCCAGATGTGTCAAAAGCATTACTCTACATAAACTGTTAATGGCCACAAACGGACACACTACACAAGATTTCACGATAATCTGTACAGACATACTGATACCATGCATACAGGTATTGGCGACAGTGTCCCACATCAGGCTTAAGAGGCTGAAAAGAAGCTGAATGAGAGATCTTCTCGCATTAAAATTTATATTGAAAATTTAATGGTTGACCGTTGTATATTTTAGAGGAAGAAGATGATCCGGGGTGGCGGTCATAAAAGAGACTAAAATAGTGGAAAAACTATTTTATTTAATTCCAACGTTTCAACCCGATTTTGCAGGTCTTCTTCAGCGCTTGAACGGACAAGATACAAAAAGATATAGAAAATTGTGGAAGTTACATAATATTTAGATAAAATTTATAAACAATGTGAATAAACTTATTGAAATTATAAACGGTAAGTACATTAAAATATTAAGAACATCAACTATATAAACAGAGTAACTATTTAAACAAAGTTCCACCATTTTATAATTTTTATGACCACCACCCCGAATCATCTCCTTCCTATAAAAATATATACTAAAATCATGGCAAGAAGGGATGCCGCTGGGCACTTCACTCCCTCAGGTCGATCAATTCTGGTACTATTATTCTTCCCGACAGCAGGCTTGCTAATTGTCTATTTTTCGTAAAGGTTTGGATGAACAAATGAAGTTTAAAGAAATCTAATTTTTATTTGTTTACGTGTAAATGACATGGTTTGTAGATTTTTTTTTCGGTATTTCATAATCATATTTTTTTGTCATTGATTTTTTTATTCACACCTGTCATAATGGTAATGACAACAAGTGAATGTGATGATAGTGGAAAAAAACATAATGGCATGTAAGGCATGAGGGAGAGCAGGACCCAGCGGCACCTCCTCCTGGCCTGATATCTACATTAGGCGAGGAGGTCCCTCATCCAGCTCCTCTTCAGTCTTATTTGGACGTTACCTGTCATTTGCGTAGTGGCCATGTCATTGATGAGTGTGTTAGGATGTCCTTATATTTTCACATCATTATATAGATGCAAAAAACATGTCTATATGTTCAAACAAAAAAATAAATAAATAATTGTAATATATAAACTAATTATAAGTTAAATGTGACATAGTGTCTTACACACACGAGGTAGAAGACTTAAGTTCACATTTATTTAAGCTAAAGCTCATCAACTCGAATTAAAGTTTGATCGTGTTATACGAAACGACCTCAAGTCTCATCAATAGAGCAAGTGCAATAAGTGCGCTGTAATAAATTCCACTAACGATAATCAAGTTATCCTAGTTAGGAACTACTTTCTTTATGGCGGTGGGATATTACGAGGCGGAGCCCCGGGCGGGATCCAGATCTACAAGAGTTCGATCGTGAATTAACTTAATATCCCAATTAAAAGAGCAGTTAAAACTCTTATTAAGGTTGTGTGTTGGCTCTCTTATCGCTCTCACGTGAGCCGAATCGCTCCCTGAATCCCAATGAGTCTTAAAGAGCTGCCGACGTTATGGAATTTACATTTTTAAAATATCAAAAGCTTTCAAGAAGTTGTGAAAAAATTCTTCGCTGAAGGACTTAACCGTCGAAGTAGCTTCTATCGGCCATTATAAAGTTAATGAATGAAGTCCCTCCTAAGGTTTCGCTAAACGTAGTTAATTATGTCGAACCATATTGTGAGAGGTCACGGAGGGTAGTGAGCGTAAGTACCCCGCGATAAAGGAAATCTCATTTAGTAAGTCGATTACTAAGATCCCATCTAGGAAGTCCATTCCGGAGCAGATATATCGGAGCTACCTGAGTATTTAATTACAGGTAGATTATTTTATATACCCTAAACTGAGATTACTTTGGGACCAGAGGCGTGACTTTGTGTTAGAATTAGGAATCACATAGCGAACATTGTTATTTCAAGACTAAAGAAAAGTTACAAATACAAACACTAAATACAAAAATATTATAGCCTTAATACAAACAATTTTATTTTAAATAAATATGAACATAGGTCTTGTACCTTATATGTGTAGAATACAATGTCACATTTAACTTAGTTTACATTAGAGCGGTATGAACATATGCTTTTCTTACATACTACCCTACCTAGTTCTGCCATAAATACTGTTACAAAAGTTGAACTTTACATCATTGGATATTCTTTATATAATCTTTACTTCTAATAGGTTATTTTCTTTGCATATCAGGATAATAATCTCAATTAGTTTGATTTTTATTTTGCTCAGTTAACATGGAGTGGGGTGATAAAGAAAACCGAATCGACTTACACAAAGTTGGAAAATTTAGGTTAGATATCTTCAACACTTTGAAACTTTTGGTTATCAGCCCTATGTTCGTGTACCGCACTATAAATAGATGTAAAGATACCCTATCTGTATGTGACAGACCTAGACCGGGCCGTCCCCGCACTGTGAGAACGGCAAATGCCGTGAGAGCAGTGGCTGCTCAATTCAGAAGAAATCCCATTCGAAAACAAAGATCAATGTCTTTCATAGTAAAAAGTGACCTTAGGGTGGGTACATTTCGAAGAATGACAGGACAAAGGCTAACCACTTTCCAAAAAAAAAATAGAGTGAAAAGATGCAAAGTGATCCTTGGCCGTTACACCAATGGTCTTCATCAAAAGACTTTGTCTAGCGATGAGAAAGTTTTTATAATTGAAGAAAAATTTATTCGCCAAAATGATCGTGTGTACGCACACAGCTCTAAAGAAGCCCAGGAAGTCATTGGAAGAGTGGAAAGAGGTCATCACCCTTCTTCAGTGATAGTTTGGGTGGAGTTTGCTTTGATGGCACCACAAAGCTCCATTTTTGTGAAAAAGAAGTCAAAACAGCCGCTAAAAACTATCAGGACGATATTTTTGAACCTGTTCTCAAGCCTCTAAATGATGAGCATTGGCTGTAAAAAAACATTCGAGAGTTCATCTCTTCCTCGGATCGGCCCTCAGGAAGCCCTGATCTCAACCCACTAGATTATCGGCTTTAGCCCGAACTGGAGAAGATGGCATGCCATAGAGCACACCCTAACTTGGAAAGCCTCAAAGAATCTCTGGTCCGAGCAGTTGAGCGCTTTCCTCAAGAAGTGCTGCGTGCTGCTATTGATGACTGGTCACGTGGATAAAGTCAAAAGGGGAACATTTTGAGTAATTTCTTTTTTGTTTTATTCTCTATAGATATACATTTTGTTTTGAAAAAAATATTTTTTTTGTTGAAATCTGTATATATTTCACTGTAACAATATTCATGACAGGACTAGGTATATATAATGTTTTGTAACTTTTTTTTAGTCTTATTTTTAATTTACATTACAGTAAATTAAAGAATGTTAAAGTTTCCGACGAAAATTTCTAAATTGATTCCTCTCTCGCATTCCCTCACACGACGGTGCGAGACGTTAATGGGAAAATACCACACCACGGAGTAGAAGAGATAGGGTAGAGGAGAGGGGATGAGGATTAGACAATAAATAGGCGAGAAGCAAGTTGGGGGGGGGGAGTTTGGTTCTGGCGGGTAATGACCGATTTGCCGGGACATTGCCCAGATCGTCACTCCATCTGGTGGCGGTCCATCTTATCGCTGCCTCTATTTCTTAAAATACTCCCCCTCCCCCTCCTCCTCCCCCCCTCCCCCCGAATAACCCATTCCTCACCGCTCTTTCCCGCCCTTTTCTCCTCTCTTTGCTTTCACATTCCGGCCTACATTTCTTCCTAAACTGTATCAGAAGCGGACGTTTCGAAATGTACGTAATGAATTTTTATTAGTGTTTTTTCAATACACTCCATTGCACCGAAAAATGATAAAAATTATGGATGGAAGGAAGTATTGTTCCTTGGTATTGCATGAAGCTGATTGGGCCAAAATCACATCCAACCGCCAGGTTTTCCCATTTATCAACTATTTAATTGAGAGTATATTATACATCTATATTACTACTGATATTTCCGAAAATTTGTTTTCAATCTCAAAAATATTTCTCTTTTAATTAATTATTAGAATTCTTTCATACTTTATATTTTTATTTTTTATAACTACTAAAAATGAGAGAGACAGTTACCTCTTTCAAAGAAAATTTTAATAAGGAAAGCACTTTCAGACTATTTTAATGAGGAAAGTTAAAAGACAGCTGATATTAAAGACCGTTTAATAGTGCATTGATATAGCAAGTTAATCGATATCGTTTGACCCGTTTCCGAGAAAATTGTTAACATGTATAAAACGGTAGATATTAAGTCATAATTTTAGTAAGTAAATTGTTTTTAGCTATGTTGTTCATATTACAGTCTGAATTTCAGGTATAGGCAACTTCGCATAAATTGGTTATTTGGACTCATAAAGTGAAAATTTGAAATTCGTATTTCCTTGAAAACTCGGATTCGCAATTTTTCATGATCTTACTTACTCACATCTCTATCCTTCCTGCCCCCCTTCTGTATACTCCTTCCATCTTGGATCTGTCAGTCCAGGACTCCATTCGGCCAATGCACTTCCGGCATTCTCCTGCACTGCCCATACCACCTCAATCGCCGTTTCCCGATCCTCTCAGACGGTCTCCTCTACACCTGTTCTCTGTCTCACTACTTCATTTCGGACTCTGTCCAGCCTCGGTAACTAAAGACACCTTCTCCAAAAATTCATTTCTACAGTCCGAACTTTGGCATACAAACTATCATGCATCGACCATGCCTCACATCAGTAGATTAATATAGACTCGACAATAGCCTTGAAGATACGCCGCTACGATCTCAATGCTTTGTTATACATATTGAAAAAAAAAAAAACTGTATCTTTACAACCCATGAGTGTCTTGGGTTCAGTACAGGAAGAAGGAATTACTGTTTCAAGCAGGGAAGTGATCAGGCAAATATTTCCCATAGACGCCAGGTTTTCACCCTTAATCAATTATATAATTAATACTACCTACTTTATAGAGACTAGGTGTACCCCCAGGCGAAGTTTCCGATTCACGTCTAATGTTGCAGAATAAATAATTTCCTTTCATAACCGGATTCTAACCTGGAGAATAGGAGTGCCTTACACACTGAACTAACCGTATTTGTTCGGCCTTTAATATTTATAATAATATAAATAAATGTAAGCACAATACTCTTTGTATTGCAGTGATAGTAAAGAAACTAAGATGTAATCGTTTCACGGAAATGTATCATAATGTGCTTAATGCCTTAACGGAAGAGAGGCTAATGGAAAAAGATCATTAAGGTGGCACCACAATGGGTTTTTATAAAAAGTGGTGAGTATCTTTTGTTGCTCTTTGTTTCTCGTTTATCTTGTATTCTTTATTCTGACATGTGTTTACGTCTGTAAGTACCGTTCGGAATTTTACTCATATTTATTGACTCTGTTTCAATTAATAGAATGCGAGGACAAGTTTGAGGTTTATTCTAGTGTCACGATCTCTGTTAAGGTAGAATTTCCACCACACAGGCTTTAAAGAAAAATAAAAAATTGCCGGACGTTTTGTTGTATTTTTTAAATATTCTTTTTTAGATATATATTTTAAATAGTTTCGCTCATATAAATCCTAAAAAAGCAAAGGATGACATAATTTAAAAGAAAAATGTTGCACTGCAGATTGCATTTTTGGGCATGGAATTAAGTTAGTACAGTAAGTTTTTAAGACATTGTAATATAAAAATAAAAATGATTTTTTTTTCGTAAGTAATGATAATATAAATAAATACATAATAACAATAAAAATAAACGTAAAACATCAGGTGGTTCTATGCCGGTAACCCAAATGTCTGTCTACATACTTCCATCCATTGACTGCCGTCCAAACCCAACCCCACCAGATCGACTTTAATGCTATCTTCCCGCCTTCGCTTTGGTCTACTTCTTGGACGCTTAGTGATCCGCCACTAATTCCAGCAATTTACTCTCCATTTTATTTCCCGCAATATACTATATATTATCTCAAATATACTTATGAGTATACACTCAAATATACTTAAAATGAAGAAGGCTTCATACTGTCGTATATTTTATACGATGACTAGATAAAGTTTGGAAGCTTTAAAGGTATTGTTTGGTGTGATTATCTCAATTATTTATTACATAATATCCAAATAAGTGATTAACTAAAAAAATAAATCACTTTTGGAATTTATACTCTTTTAATCTACCTTGAAGATTTCTTATCCTGCCATTTCCCTATGCTAATATTTCAGAATCCTTTAGTTCCTTCTTAGATACTCCTGGATATATCTGAATACTGAGAGGTACCAGAGTGAAATTATTACCCCTTACATTTTCCCCGGAGGAGAGAAAGAAGTTCGAGACCCGTCTTAGACCTCTTGAATAATTGATGCCAATTGCCAGGAGCCTCTTCTTGAAGCGGTAATTAAAAAACCCAT